TGTCACAGTAAATGTGATGTTGTAGACAACAACATGACAGAAACACTCAAATTTTCCTCCTACTATGCATTTCAGGGATTGGTTCCTGCTATACATGAAGTGTGGCCAGCAGTTGAGCATAGGCAATGTGCTAGGCACATTTATTCTAATTGGAGGAAAATTCATAGTGGGAGGGTCCTGCAAAGTCAATTCTGGAAATGTGTTAAAGCCACCTCTATGCCAATTTTTCAAACTGAAGCTGCCAAGCTAAGGATAATTTCAGAGCAAGCTTATGAAGACTTCATGGCTAGAGACCCCAACACATTCTGTAAGTCTCATTTCAAATGTCACAGTAAATGTGATGTTGTAGACAACAACATGGCAGAAACATTCAACTCTTTTATATTACTTGCAAGATATAAACCTATAGTGTCCATGTTAGAGGATATTAGATTATCTATAATGGATAGAATGCAAGAGAAAAAGAAACTGGTGAGTAAATTTGTGGGGGGAGTTGCACCTAGAATTCATAAGAAGTTGGAGGAAGCATATCAGGAGCAAGTTCATTGCCGTGCCCATTGGAATGGTGATGAGAATGAAACTGGTTTTGAGATAATCCATAGAGGGCAAAGTCATGCAGTGGATTTGAAAAATATGACATGTACATGTAGGAATTGGGACTTGACAGGAATACCATGCACACATGCAGTCAGTGTTATCTTGCTTATGAGAAGGAAACCTGAAATGTATCAGTGCTATTTTACTTATGAGAAGGAAACCTGAAAATTACTTATCAGAGATGTATTCTCAAGAAAACTATTTGATTGCCTATGGAGGAATGTTAAATCCAGTACAAGGGAGTAATTATTGGGATACAGAGGGAGAGGGAATGGTGTTACCCCCAAATATTGTTAGAAGGCCAAAGGGGAGACCCAAAACTGCTAGGAGGAGAGACCCATCTGAAGGTTCCAAGCATCCTTCTAGGTCATCAAGGCAGGGATTAATACAAAAGTGTAGCAATTGTCACAGAACAGGGCATAGAAGACCCAGTTGTCCTGATGCAGCAACAAATCCTCCCAGGCCAGCACATCAACAGGTATTGTAATGCCAATTATTTAGATATCTTTAATAATCTCATATGCAATCGTATTATCTAATTTCTCCATTGATTTACTTCTAGGAAAATCAATCTCAAGTTCTTGATGAAGGCACAAGTGGAAGGAAGAAAAGAGGAAGACCAAAGGGAAGCAAAACTAGACCTAACATTTCCATTGAAGAGCATAGTCAAACTAACACTCTTCCACCATCTCAAGTTTTCATAAATAAAAGATCAATGGCTAGAGGTAATGAACAATAGAACTTAATTCATGAATACAGGGCAATGTGATTATGAGCTTCTGTACATATAGAACTTAAGCTTGGAGTTACTGGTTTTTACGTTTGATTGTGCAATGTGATTATGAGCTTCTGTACATGAACTTAAGCTTGGAGTTACTGGTTAGTATGTTGATTGTGCAATGTGATTATGAGCTTCTGTACATGAACTTAAGCTTGGAGTTACTGGTTAGTATGTTGATTGTGCAATGTGATTATGAGCTTCTGTGCAAGAACTTAATTCATGAATACAGGGCAATGTGATTATGAGCTTCTGTACATATAGAACTTAAGCTTGGAGTTACTGGTTTTTACGTTTGATTGTGCAATGTGATTATGAGCTTCTGTGCATGAACTCCCTTAAGCTTGTGAGTATGCTTTGTCACAGGAAAACTATATTTGACAGGTTCACTCACAAAGATAATACATGAATACAGGGTATACCATGACAAATTTTTCTCATAAACAGTGACAAATTTTTCATGTCCTGATGCTTCTTCTCATTTAATTCATAAGTTCATACAATATGCTCTTAAACATTACATATCCATGTCCATAAACCAAAAAAATACACAATAAAAACGACTACAAACAAAAGTGATATCAAACTTCCTCTCTTCAGCAACATCATCCTCCTCTTCTCCAATTGAAGCAAACCCTCTAATCTGAAACTCTCATCTCTCAATTTTGATATTTCTTCCAAAGAGCAAGCGTTCTCATCGTATAAAACCTGGAGCTGGTCTCTGAAATTGGCATTTTCAACATGGCAATCCTTCACTTCGGCCTCAACTCTTTGAATCTGCCTATCCCTGAGCTTCAATTCACTCCTCAAGTTAAGTATTTCATCTCGTAGAATAGGAAATAGAGTAGAAGACACATTGCAGAGAGGTCTATCGAACCATTCCCACATTCCACAGCCACCATTAGGATTCTGACATTTATAAAACCTTCTCCCAGGATTTTCATCTGTAAATGATGTATAATACCCACAATCCATTCTACACTTACAGATTTTCATGCCAACCGTCCTTGCTTCCTCGTTCCACCTTCTAATACCTGCCAAAGAATTCAAACCATGATTATTACTTACATGCGATCCCAATTTTCCACTCACCCTGCTTGCTTTAGATCGAGAGCTTGAATGAGAGCTTGAACTTGATGCCGATGACATAGCTTCTTCTCTTCCAATGGCCCGCTGTCATAAACCCTAATTCCCAATTTCCCCTAATTCGATCCCTCTTTTATTCTCCCTGCCACGTCAGAATAGAAAGCCACATCAGCATCTTAAACACATATTAATCCCCCACGTGCAACGCACGTGATGAGTTTTCGCCGGAAAAGTGGCCGCCGACGAGAAAAAGGACCTAAATGGTACTATTATTCAATTAAAATGTCTTATCGCCGAATTTCCTAATTAAAATACCTTGTTGGGAAATGGGGTTGAATTAAAATACCAATATGGGTATTTAGCCTATTCCATTATGTTTAACTTTTTTATAGAATCGAAAATTATACCTACATACCAAATTAAGAAACCTGTTAAGAGTCTCCAAACCCATAACTATTTATTCAAAATCCAAACTCAATTCACATATCTTCTTCTCCAATGGTCCCCTCTCCACCTTCAAGGACCTAAACTCCAGACCCATTAATTGAAACTCAATAACATCCTACCCCTTAAAAAGTTCCAAATTCAAACCCGTTTAGATAGTTATCTTTTCTCCACAATTACCCCTTTGAGCAACGACCGCTTTCTTTACCCAAAAGCTTTAAATCATGCCCGAAGTTCAATTACCTTTGTTAATAAAGTTTTTAAATTTTCGGGCAAATAAAGATTAATGTGGACATGAGAGAGGGGGACGGGTGATTTTGTAAGTATACAACTATGGTTTACTACTAACGAATCATGGTTAGTATTTTAGACAAAAAGAGTAACAGGAAGAGTTATTTCAACCTAGTTACAAAAGTTCAATATCAAAATATGAAGATTTAAGAGATTAGTATAAAAAAATCCTATTGATTTAAGTGATGACAATTTTTTAAACCGATCATTTTTCAAAAATATTTTCAAAAAACGACATGTTTCAACAATATTTGTCAAAACCGACCTAGTTTTAGCCATTAGGCTGAAACTGGGTTGGTTTTGACGAAAGAAGTTCCCAAACTTCACGGGACTTAATTAAGCTGCTAAACTTCACGGGACTTCAAGTCCCGTGAAGTTTCATATTTTTTTTCCATCAAAACCGGCCTACTTTCAGCCCGACGGTTGAAACTATGTCGGTTTTGACGAATATTGTTGAAACGGGTAGTTTTTTGTGAATATTTTTGTAAATAGGACTGTTTTGAAAATTTGTCGTTTAAGCGAATTTTTTTTCAAAAAGCACTTACTGTAAACAGTGTAAAAACCAACAAAGCGTACAATCAACAGTGATATATAAAGCAAGGCCAAAAATTAAGGCCCGAGATCACGGCTAGAGGTCCGGGTGAAGATCGAAGACACAAATCAATGGGCCTAAGCGCAACGAGCAACGACTCGCTGTGCCTCGTCTCCACCGCCCCCGTCCCCCCCCTGTACAGTGACACCTTCCCTCCTCGCACGGCTCTCGATTCCTCTTTACCCTCGTTCTCCTTTTTGTCTTTTCCCCCCACTCATCCACGTGGACTCTTGCCGCTTTTCCCCCCTTTCTCCTGTTCCCCCTCCCTCTCTCCCTCCATCACTCACCCTGCACCGCCCAGATTCAATCGGCAACTACTACCAAATCTGACGCCCCATGCCTCTACTCTCCTCCTCCTTCCTCCTCCCTCCTCTCACTCCTCGTTCAGCCTCACCCTCGCCTCAGCCGATCTCCACAACCTGCTCTCCCTCGCCACCCGCCGCCGCTGCCCTCCCTTCCCTCCCTCCCACAGCCTACCACCCTTCTCGCACCTCGCCCACGGCCTGGCAACCCCCGCTCCTTCCAGTCCGCTGCTCCTCCCCTGCACTCCCTCCTCTCCATCAACTCCTCCCCTTCCATCCTCCCTCCCTCGCTCACCCCACCCGAACTTCCTCACCCTCTCACTCCCTCACCTCTCTCCCTCCCCCTCCCCCGGTTGTCCCTCCCCTCCCCTCCCACACCCTGTCAACCTCTCCTCCTCCCTTCCGCTCTCTCTCCGACCGGTGCCCCAGCCTCGCCTCCCTCTGCCGACCCCAGCCCCCCCATCTACTGCAAACATCTCCTCTTTCCAGTCCCGTCTCCTCTCCTCCCTCACCTCCTGTTCCCCCATGCGGACCCAACCTACGCTCTCAAGCTGCGCCGGCGAACGACCTACAGCGCGCTGTCCGCGTTCTTCTCCAGCTCCGGATTTCACCGTCACCCATGGGACCTCTCCGCCGACGACCTACGACTCCAGCTGCTCCGACCTGCCGCCCGCGCCGCGGGCGGCGTCTTGCGGTTTCAAACGACAGCCGATCCGTCCAACCCTTCCTGTGGCTTCCCCTCCCTCTGACCACCTGAACAGACGCGCGCTCCTCCGGTAGGAAGCTGCTTGGTGCTCGTCATCCACCATTTTCGCTGCCGCGCCGTCTGCTTGCTTCTTGTTCTGGGATCGCTGTGGCTTGTTCGGCGGCAGGTGCGGCGCGGCGGCGACACCGGTTGGCGGCGCGACCGATGGCGAAGCTTCTTGACTCGCGCATCAGATTCACCCGCCGGTCTACAGCTACGAGCAGCTGAGATTGGGGCACCCAACGGGTTCGATCCCCGACGGAAGATCGGGGACCGGTGGGTTGGGTACGGTGTCTTAGCGCTTCAGCCTCGACGACGGCTGGATCGCCGCCGTTCAGAGGCCTCACCGCCAGCACCACTGCTTCCACACCAAATCTTTTTGTACGAGAGTTTTGATTCTGTCCTCTTTGAGGCTGCCCAACCTTTGTTCGGCTTCACGGTACTGCCTGCGAACCCCCTGGGTTGCTGTGATGTTAGCGATTATGTTTCGAATGGTACTCTCGCGGACCATCTGCACGGGTCGGAGGAGCTTGTATAGGAGCGTTCGCTGACGTGGCCCGTGAGGGTTGATGTAGCTTTGCAAACTGCTTCTGCGCTTGAGTACTTGCATTTTGCCCTTAAGCCTCCTGTTGTTCATAGAGACATTACGTCGAGTAATATATTTGTTGAGAGAGATATGAGGATTAAGGTCGGGGATTTTGGGTTGTCGAGGTTACTGTCTCTACCCGACCCAAACTGCTCGTCCGGCTCTTCGACGGAGTATGTTTGCTGCACTGGGCCCCAGGGAACGCCAGGATACCTTGACCCTGAGTATCACCGGTCGTTTCGGCTTACTGAAAAGAGCGATGTTTATAGCTTTGGAGTGGTTTTGTTGGAGCTCGTGACGGGGATGAAGGCTGTGGATTTGAGAAGGGATAAGAGGGAAGTTTCATTGGCTGAGTTTGTGGTGTCGAAGATTCAGGTCGGGGCTTTGCATGAGGTTGTGGACCCGATATTGGTGAGGGGAGGGAATGTGATGGAGAGTATTGAGGCGGTTGCGGAGCTGGCGTTTCGGTGTGTGGCTGGAGAGAAGGATGATAGGCCGAATGCGAGGGAGGTTGTTGAGGAGTTGAAGAGGATTAGGGGATTGATATAAGGGTTCTGAGATTTTTGATTGCCATTTTGGGACACTGGATGGTGGTAAAGGCTGGGTATGCAATGCCCATTTGTAGGAAAGATCTCAACTGCTATGAAGTTGGGCTATGAAAGAGTTTTGTTTATGGCATATTGCTTAAGAGCAAGCACATCTTTGGCGAACAAGGAGTTTGAAGACCTTCTTGATGTTCATCACGTGCACAAATCATTTTAAGCCACATTCTAAGTTGCCAACCCGTATCAAGCATAGAGCGCAGATTTTCAAAACGAGAAAAGGACACTGCTGTTAGGTGACACTGTTGCCCTTGAAGAAGAAATCATAAGGCTAATGCTCTAGTTCACACTTGAGTATGGTATTGTGAAGCCAGGTTCATAATTTAGTTGTGGGTGTTCTTGATGGTAACCCAATATGAGCTTTCATGTAACACTGAAAAGAACAACATTTCATTGGAAAAAAATGAGTTAAGATGGATAAGTCTTCTGAAATTACTCTTTTTTGTTTTACTCCTTACTTGTTATGTGACTTATGTCTGCTTCCGATGCCTGTGTATTTCTTGTGATGTTGCAAATTGATCAATTAATAGTAACTTCAAGCTCTCAAATTGACCCACTTCCCCGTCAATTGAATGTTTTCAGCTAAACATATGTTTTGTTTGGTTCTTTTAATAAAGATCTATTTACGACTGGATACCTGGATTTGTGAACTGACTTTTCGCGATCAGATAGGTTATTGAATATCCTGCAGGAACAAGTCTGCAGATGATAATCCAGGCTATCAAGAGTTGTTGGAGCTTTAGGAGTCTGGAGTGAGTTATGAAGGTAATTTCTGATTCATCTAGTTTCCATTCATGATAATTCAACTATTATTGACTCGTCATATGAGTTTATGCTTATGTCTTATAATTAGGGCAAAGAGAAATATGAACTGAACAGTTTCTATCTGTACTTCCGTTAATTTTTATGAATTGAAGTTTCTGTTTGCAATGACATATTGTACTTGATAATTAGTGTCACGCCCCGGGCCCACGGGCCCGTTGGCGCGTGCAAGCCGTGAGACCCATCAAGAGCAACTCGATGTTGGCTTAAATCCACTGCCAAAATGTTAGTCTCGTCATCACGGCATGACAATCGGTACATCCCAGTGTCACTGTCGATGATGTGGACTCTAGAAGTGGCTCCTACAGGCTCTAGAGGTGGCTCCCACCGTATTCATGTGGTGTAACACTTAGCCCCGTATAACACTTAGCTCCACATAGCCCCGTATAACACTTAGCTCCACACTTCCAGCTTGCAAGCTCTGATACCATTTTTCACGCCCCGGGTCCACGGGCCCGTTGGCGTGTGCAAGCCGTGGGACCCACCAAGAGTAACTCGATATTGGCTTAAATCCGCTGCCAAAATGCTAGCACTAGTTGTTCTTGGGCCTTGGGATTTTCTCTATTTACACCACTAACCTTTCTTCCCACACTAGTTCATGTGGGACTAAATAGGGGGTGTCACAATTAGCATCAAGCTTGGATATTTTCCTATGACAATTGGCATTCATTTTCTCAATGCATTTTATATGAAGTATAACTCTAAGAAGGTTGCAGAATGAATGTGCTGATATGCTTGACATCAGTATGGGATGAACCATCTGATTCCTAGCCTCAGGAACATCTGCTAATATACTATGTATGATAGACTGGAGTTTACATTTAAACTACTGCATAATGTTAACATCTGCTAAGATACTATGTGCGATAGACTGGAATTTACATTTAAATTACTGCATAATGTTAACGGGTCATTTTTATTCTCTGATCAAAATAATTTAATTTGTTTATTACATGCTATGTTATCATTGTAATTTTATTCGACAGCGCTACTGTTGGAAGAGTTTGCTTCTCTTACTTCTATATTTTCATTTGTTTCTTTCAGATTTCATTAGCATTAGCATTAGCATAATTTCATTCTCTTCATAGTTATATATGTTGTCAGCCTCATAGTTATGTTTGCTAGTAAGTTGTCCCCATATCCTCTTTTGCTTTGCTTCTTTAGAAATGCAATTATGCACATCACTGCTCAATCATGTCTTTTTATGCTTACCGAATCTAAGCTTGTAGAAAGAAATAGAAACGCACTGAGTTCATTCCTAAAACTTGGAGTGGTATGTGGACGTATTTTTTTTTCTTAAATTCTAGTGCTAGCCACTTCACAACTTAATTTCTAGACTAGTAAGTTCTTTGTGTCCTTCAAACCATTACTGCCCTTATTAAATATGGAAAAAAAATATTGAAAACAAACGTAATATGCTGCAAGCGGCAGATCCTGACACAACATTAATTTTCAAACCATAAAAGCAATTCATGAAGAACCTCTCGCCACTTGAAACCTTGAGAACTTAAGATAGATGCTTAAATTTAACATGGACAATTGAAATTAGGTCAGCATGAATAATATCCTATACTATAGAAGGCTCTATGGACATAATGCATGGTTGCATAACAACAGTAACAGCAAAATCTATGAACAGAGTTCAGATCTTTTATTCCAGAGCAGATTGAACTAAAGATAAAGAAAATGATATTGTCGGCCAAACTTATTATCAGTCAAATTTGAAAAGTGTGGATTTCTACAATTTGGTTATGAGCAACTTGAAAAGAGACATTTGTAAAGAGATGGCGCCAAAAAATAATTGATCACATAGATGATGGCCAAAAGTACTTGGACTGTTGTCATTGTAACTATTTTTGAAAATATGCTGTGTCACTGCAAATTCAATCAAATTTAGTATGATAGTCTGCTAAACTCCATCTGGTTGCAGTATCATTCACAGTAAAAGAATCTGAACAAAATTCAGAACTATCTGAACTTTCTCCCCTTAGGCTTTTTGGGTTTGTTTCTCTTCTTTATACCCTTTGAAATCTCCTGTATTTGTTTCTCTTCTCCTTTATCTGGACTACTTTCAGCGGTATGGAGGAGTTTCATAAAATGTGCTGCCCCTGATGCTCCGGGCTCACTTGTGGTTTGCTCTGCTGCTTTTCTCATAACGACTTCCTGATATTAAAACAATAAGAAAGAAAGATAGAGATAGTGAACAAAGAAGCTGTGAGGATAAATTTATAAAAAAACAAGTGAAATATCCCAATTGAACACCTGGATATAAATCTTCAGAAGAGGTAAAAGAACTACAAGGAAATCATTCACACAAGCCTGTTCTAGATTGAACTGCAACTGCCTAGCTGTAGCAAGATTCTTCATGATTTTGCCATCGACAATGCAAATCTGCAAGGTGAAAGTTAGAGTAAGACTTCAAGAGTTTGCACAAAAGAATTCTAAAATTCTAAAAAAATTCTGCCATCGACAATGCAAATCTGCAAGGTGAAAAGTTAGGGTAAGACTTCAAGAGTTCGCACAAAAAAATTCTAAAATGCAAGAAAATAGATGGCAACAATTGCCCAGACCTTCTTATCATATGATTCCTCTAGTTTCCTGAATACTGCTTTTATGAAGATGTTATCCAAGGAACTTGTTTTTGGATGATTTTCATCATTGTTGATGGCATCATCCCCATCTTGAGATGCTCTGAAAGCTTCTGCTTCTGTCAGGATAAAAGAAATTACCCTGATCATAAAATCGTTCCCTGTTTCAGCTCTTTCAGTGAGCTCTTCTTTCCACTTTGTCATACTAACCTCGACAGAGTTTTCCCTTTCCATCAGTTCCTTCTCACAGACACCCTTCAAATGTTCAATATGCACCAGATAAGTAAGGAGTTCCCCTTTGACGGTGCAGATACGAGTCAAGTCTTCAATTTCCTTCTCGAGCTTTTTTAGGATTCTGTCAGCCTCCATCTGTCCTTTATTTCTCTGGTGGCTCCAACCATTAATAATCTGCATCAAATTATGCTCATATAACCAAAAGAGCATGGAGTTTACATCAGGGAAGCACTTTGTTCCATTATCAGGAGAAGATGTATCTTCGCTGCTGGATAATATTTTCAGATCTAAATCAATATGCGGCGAACTATCATAAAAAAAGGCCCTTATTCTCACATCACACTCTGGAATATTGAAAACTACATCCCTAGAAGGGTCATGTGGCTCAGCATATGGTTCTAGCTTATGATCTTGCGTGAGAGACTGCAAGAACTCAAGGACCTTCTGTAGCTGCAAAGAATCCAAGGCTCGAATACAATCCACTGACTGGTTATTGACTCCATGACTTAGTAGCAGCTCTGCTGATGAATGAGCTTGCAGTTCTCTCATGGCATTACTTAGAATCCTGTCAAGATGGGTTTTTAACAAGTAATTGTGCAAGATGAGTATTCTAAAATAATCCCGAATTCTCTTGAGAAGCTCTTTTCTCTCTGGATGATTGGACAAAGGCAATCTATTGCTGTCCCCTGTCATGACTTGGACATCGATGGGCTCCCATGTGCAACTGACAATCTTGTCAACCCAATCACTATTGACATTCTGAAATTTTGAAGAAATACAGAAAGAGAATGAGTTGACAAGCTGAAACGAAATGAATACCTGCATATAAGATTTCAGAAAAGGCGAAAGAAATTCAAGCTTATAACTGTCACATGTTTTTTCAAGATTGAGCTTCAACGGCTTAGAGGTATCAAGATTCTTTGTGATCTTTGCATTAACTATGTTATTGACAAGCTTGACGACCCAATCTTGATCATATTTTTCAGGAAAGAACGGCTTTAATTCTTCAGAAAGTTTATCCGTGTGCTCCTTCAATACATGCTGCATCTTGGATTCAAAATATTCAAACCTCTTGCCGGGGCAGCGAGGGCAGACCCAGAACTTCCATGTATGTTTCTCCTGGTAAAACTCCAGGGCCTCAGTTATTATATGCAGAAACCGACTATTTTGCTCTGACCATTTTTTGAAATCATTAACATTCACTCGTATGAGGTCTCGCCATAAATATTCTAGACAGGATGGAATTCTATAAGCTTGTTCCTTTTCTGCCAGCATCACCTTGCAGTGTGCAGAAGCAATGGGACTCTTGAGCATATTCAATAGAAAACGGAACCTTTTCTGATAGTGGTTCACCTCAGTGGCAGAGATTTCTAGGCCTGTTTTATCTTCATAACCCTGGGGCAAGAAATCGTAATGGTTAATAATCACAAAAGCACGCTCACACTCCTTGGCTGCCTCTTCGAATTTTCTGTGCAGAACAAGAAGCCTCACATAGTGGAAAGAAAATTCAAGAATGTTGGGGGAGAGTATGGTGGCTTGATGTGCTGAGTCGATGGCCTCTTGTATTTTTCTGTTCCAGCCCTCGGGATCGTTGGTGAGGGTCTTGAAATAGTTGCAGAGCACTAAACTGCGGGTGTAGTGGAATAAGGAAGAGGATTCGTGCTGGTGACGAACATTGTTAAGAGTGTCGTGGGCACCGATGAGGTCACCTTGACAGAGGAATTGAAAAGCTTGTCTACAGAGTATCTTCACCTCTTCATCAGGAGGGTGAGGATTTGTGCTTGTGGAAACAAGTGAAGAAGAGGAGGAATGAGAAGGGCAGGGTTCTTCACCTTGATGAGAGGATGGAAGAGCCTTCTCAGCAAGGTCCTTCACGTTGTCAGGAGGGAAAGAAGCAATGGAATTTGCAGGGCAGGGTTTATCACCTTGAGCCTGGTCATTGAGGCTTTGCACCTCATCAGGAGGAGGATCTGCGCTTCTGGAAGCAAGTGAAGAAGAAGAGCATGAAGCAGGGCAATTTTCCATGATATCTGTAATTGGACCAACAGAATGTGCCCGTAAAATGAACATGAGGCTTTGTTGGTAGAAGGCCATCTGATTTTCAGTAGTCTCCTCCAAGAAGTTCTCGAAGAAAAAATTGATCGGTTCAGTAACTGCAAGAGCTCGTTCACACTCATTGACGGCCTCTGGAAATCTTTCACTGCAACAAATGAGAAGGTTGACGTAGAAGAGAGAATACTCGAGGTTGGAGGGGGAGAGTTGGGTGGCTCTCCGAGCAGATGCAATGGCTTCTTGGAACCATTGTTCTTTTGCTTCAGGATCATCATTGTGGGTATATGCATACCCATAATAGTGGACTAATGCACATATACGATGGAAGAAGGCAAAGGAAGTGCGACGTTGGTAGTTTGCTTCTTGCAACAAGCGATCAGCCTTGGTGAAATTATTTGAATCAAGTAATGCCAGAGCTCTCTCACAGATATCCAATACCTCCCTGCAGACAGGGCATGATGAATCATAGAGCTCC